TGCGGCTTTGCACTGCGCAAAAAAATCATAGCGGTCATAGCTTTCCTTTAACCGGACAACGGACAAACGCAAAGAACGCCTCGGAACCATGATACGCGCGTGCCCGGCCGACAGCAGAGCTCAGCGGGATACTCCTTCCACGGACTACATGGGCGCGGGGGGGATGCAGCTACCCAGCACAGCCCAGATCACCCCAAACAGCATGCCAAGAGGTAAACTAGGGCATGCACTCTAAACCTCAGGCTTCAATCTTAAGCAGCTGTACGCAATTTGGGTTTACAGATTTCGGGACGAAGATACCATAGGGACATTGCGGCATGTCTGTATTGTGCTTGCCTTGGAGATCTTAAGTCTGAAGCTCACAAGACAATCCCAGTTGGTGCTGTCATGCGGAGATCCCCACACAAGGGACAGCCACGAACGTCCACAATGAGAGACGGTGAATGGACAAAATCCTGCATGACGTTGTGCACTAGGGATCGGTCTCTATGGTATGCTCAAGGTCATGATGGGCTTTGCACATCACAGCATGGACGCTAGATATATCATATATCCCAATTTTGTCTCTTGATTTAGCCGTTTCCGAGCTTCCTACGTCCTCCGGAACTGTCAAGCAGTAGACATGATCATGGTTTGCGCAAGGTATGTAGGATTGCGTACTTTGAAACCCAAAGCTCGCCCACCCTTTGCTCTCTTCGGCACGAAAAACCAAAGCTCTATTCCTAACACTTATAAAAAGAGCGTAAATGCCAAATCCATATCCCTGCACAGTGGGGGTTCTTAGTCATAAGCTTGGCTATCAAAGGGCTATAGGCCATAGGGGGAAAGGATAGTTGTCTGTCCCATGCATCGCAGTCATTAGAATTTAAACATATAGCCAAGGATCTAGGGGGACCACCCCGCTAGACTATGGACCGCTTGGTACTTGCCAACCCGTTCCGGCTTCAACTTGGCGCAGGGAAGCCAAACTCCGTCTGGCAAATGCCTCGCAGCCGTGGCGGGAGCTTGTACTGGTGACTTAATGTGACTCAGACACGCAAGTCTCAAGGTGTGAAAATTTGACGGCACGGCCCTTCCCAAATTGGCAAAGCTGAAAAGCACGCCTGAAGGCGACGAGCGCTGCATCGCCGGAAACCTCCTTCACACGGCCCAGGACGCGAGGCGGCTGCCCTGCCTCCAAGAGTTTGGGGTTTGGGGGGTAGCCATCCCCACTACGTGCCTTAATTGCACCCTTCTCAGACGCCCTGTCAAAACTCCCGCGAGGACCTCGAATGGGCAACCGTGACAGAACAAGCGAGATGCATTATGAACATGGCAGGACGGGAAACCTTGATTTCTGCACGAACCATCATCATGTGCTTGGGGTTCCCCTGCCCCCCACCCCCCCCCCCCACGGTCCCCCGATGCTGCCCTTTAATTTGGGTCACTGTAGTTATGGAACATTAGGACTTTTTGGGGTTAGTTTGCCGGACACCTTGGCGTGGTGAAGGTGTATAGAAGGGGGGGGTAGGGAACCCGTAGGGTTTAGGGGTGGCATTGTAGACCAGTGACCCAAGCAGTCAAAGCCTTACACAGGCATGGCTGAAGACTTTGACTTGAAAACCCAGAGCAGTAAGCACCATCGGCAGCTGTAGGCTGTACACGTCATGAGATCCAACCAAGCTTTATCATCTTCAGGAGGACTCTAACCAGATACGGTCAAATATTCTCCAAACCCAAATTTCTAGGTGGGACGCCCACCCACTCATAATAGTGACCGCAGGGGATACTAATTATGTTAAGGTCCTTATATTGCCTTAGTGGGTGGGGGGGGGCGCAACCCGACTTATAAGCCCCAAAGAAGCTCTAAACCTAGCAGCCCCCAAGCACCCCTTCACCACACCTTTAACCCCCCTTAAGCCCCCCCTAAACCTCCCAAAGCCCACCAAAACCACTTCTAAACCCTAAACCGTCTAAACCCTAAACCCTAAATCCTAAATCCCTAAACCCTAGATCCCTAAACCCTAAATCCCTAAACCTCAAGCGGCCTCTGGCCCAAGCTTTTCGGCCAGGCAGGTGACAAGCCGCCCGGGAACCACAGCCCGCTGCAAGGCTGCCACCATCTGGCGTGTTCTTGGGGCCCTTTGTTAGGGTTTAGGGTTTAGGGCTTTAGGGTTTCGGGGTTTTAGGGCTTTAGGGTTTAGGGTTTAGGGCCCTAAGGGTCCAAGGACCCAAATAATAGGGTCCCTTTAAAGGGGTTATAGGGGGATCTATAGGGGTATATTATGGGGACTATATAGGGGTATAAAGGACCCAAATAATAGGGCTTCAGGGCCCAAGTACTCTACTATTAATGGTGCTTGGGCCCTAAAACCCTATTATTTAGGTCCTTGGACCCTTTAGGGGTATATAGGGGTATACAGTTTTTTAAACATCTACGTGAGGGTATGTCCTTTTCGTAGGGACAGCTAATAATAAGACTAGAGTACAACAAGGATGACAACAGGTCTCCGCGTTTATGGAAGCTTGCATTTGGTAAGTTCGGAGGGTGGCTTAGGGGTTTGCAGGTTTAGGGGTATGTTTAGTGGGCAGGGCTAGGGTGTCCGGCCTAGTTAGGGCCCTTGGCTGAGGGTTTGTAATTTGATCGGTCCTTTGCAGGCTTACGCTTAAAGAGTCACAAGTATCAATGCAGCTAGAAGGTGACTCCACCCAAGATAACAAACACTTCACTTCATCAGCCTTCAAGGATTTAAGATCCAGGCTTGCCTGCGCAGCTTTCAATGGGCCAGAAGAACAACTGGTGGGCAAATCATGTGTAAGGGTGTAGCGTCCACAACAGAAGACCTTGATCTTGATTAGTGCGGCAAGCTGCGCCTAGCTCAGTGATGGATGGTGGGTGGCTGACAATGAGAGGGCTTCGGGTGCACAGTGGGCTTCTGGAGTTGTTCAATTGCTTCTCCCCAAAAGCGAGCTTCCGATCTTTTCTGCTGAATCTTCCAAAGCACACCCCTCCCCCCCCCCGTGACTTGGGCCTGGGAGGCCTAACGACCTGGTTTTGGATGGGACTGAGGTGGGTCCACATTCTTTTAGGTTCGGTTCAAGGCATGGGGATGTAGAAAAAAGTGCTATGAAGTGCTAGGGTGTCGGAAGATTGAGACTTGCAAGCTAAGCAGCACAAAGACTTCAGGACATGGCTTTCGATGTATAGGGCTGACGTGGTGCGGGATGTTGAGGTAACGGCGCGTCCCGCTCATCACCAGCCCAAAAGAGCCCAATCCCCGGACTGTACCAGGCTTTAGTGCTGATGTTGATCTATTGGATCAGGCTGTGATCACCACAGGATGAGATCCTCATAACTTCAGATCCTTGCGACAAAGTATTGCCAAAAGGGATTGATCTATAACATACATAACCCCTATATAACCACTTGCGCAAGCCTTCAAAGCCCTCCCTGTGCCTGGGCCCATGGACCGGGCTCATCGGCCTGTGCCAGGCGCGGCAGCAGTCTGAACCAAGCTGTCTGCGCACGAGCCTCCAGGGCTATATAGGAGTTGAGATATGAGGTAATATTGGGAGAACCCAAGAGAAAAAGGAAACTACTGTTTGGGGTTTGGGGTGTAGGGTTGTATTGGGATGATGGAAAAGAAAATGGAAATTACTAGTATATAGATTATAATATAGTGATTCTGACATGGGGCTCTACATGGTAGAATTGTAAGGTGTTGTGCTGCCTTGCACAATCATCTGAAGTTACAAAATTGAGACATGGAACTCCGAAAGACAACAAAAACTGAGTCACAACGCTCCTGTATGGACGCCGTTCTGCTTGGCAGGGTCATGGTCATGAGAATGTTATAAGTCCGTACGTGGCTAGTACCCAAGCGAACAGAAGAAACTACACTAAAATATGAGCAAGTGACATCCCGTTGCATCCCTCTCATAAAGCCAGCTAAACCCTAAACCCTGAACCCTAAACCCTCAAACCTAAACCCAAAACCCTCAAACCTCGGCAGCTATTCGGGGCCTTGCTCGAAGTTTAGGGTTTAGGATTTAGGGTTTAGGGTTGTCTGACAACCAGCTGGTGAAGCTTTAAACCAAAAGCTTGGTGGCCTCTACCCTTGCGCCTTCCAATCCTGAAGGCTACGAATTAATGGGGCTTAGTAGGGAATAAGGATGGATATGCATGTATGTTTTTATATATATCTAGATGTGACCATATTCATATAGAGACATACACGTATATGATCTTTTGAAACTTCCGATAGAATATATTCCCTTATTGCCTACTAGCCTCCCAGTAAGGAAGGCTACAAGGCCCTGTAGGATCCCTAAACCCTAAATCCTAAAGCCTCAAACCCGTATGAACTTACCATTGCTTTGGGTTCTCTATCTTCCTTAATCTCAAAATTCCAAACTTTCAAGCTAAAAATGAACCTCCCAGACCCCAAGTAATAGTAGTGAACCTTAAACCCTAAACCCTACACTCGACCAGCGGCCTGTCTCCGAAGCTCCTTTGCTTGCAGCTCCAGTTCCGCAACCTACTGTTGATGGACAAAATCCTAGTTTTACTAGGGGTTAGTAGTGATGAAGGGAATATGTTTGGGCTTTAAAAGGACAATGGAAAAGAAAATGGACACTACTTTATGATGGGGTACATATTGGGGTTATAGTAGAGGTTAAGGGAATATATTATATAGAGACTATATAGGGATCCTGCTCCTTCATTCCCTACTAACAACCAGTAAGTAGTTTGATTTGGTTTCTGAAGGGGTATATAGGATGTCAGCTTTTGGTTGTGGCCACGCATGGCTTCAGGTCGACAAGCTGGGATGGACAGGGCCATGGGGCATGACACCAGGAACCACTTTTTCAACCCGTCTGTGCAACAGCAACTACAGGAGTTTAGGAACATACGTTGGGATCCTTGCCCCTTGGCAAGGACGCGTGGTGCGAGCAACGCGGCTCAGAACGTGTAGCTCCAGGTCTTTGGCCCTTGGGGCGAAAAAATCCCGAAACTGCCGTTACACATCCTCATTGCTTTCCACCACTTTGGCCTGCACAACCACGGCTGAACCGACCACCTGAGGAGCCGCTGCGGGGTTGTACGGTGGAGGAGTGACCGTGGGGGTGTATGGAGCACTCTTCTTGAGCATCTGCCGGTACTTCACGCATCCCAAAATAATGGCGGCCAGGAGCATGATGAGGCCCAGCACTAGGACAACATCCGTGAACCTGAAGTCCGCGTTATGGTCGTCGTTTTCCACTAGAAAAGAAAAATAGATAACATGATGGTACCAAAGCACGAAGGGGCCAACCCTCTTTCTGGGCAGCGGCCATTCGATTGGGAAGACATCAAGGTGTGCGTCATGCTCAGTTCACTTATCTGCACATGTTTGACCCCATTTGGCCTAATATAGACCCCTAAACTCTAGGATTATGATGGGTACCCTCCAAAAAGAGCCATGATTTTGGGATACCCCCATATGAAGGCTCCAAGACCTCCGCCTCGCAGGCGGGCCCTCCTTGGAAGGTCTCCATTCAAAGGATTCACGCTGCTGAAGCCTACGTGCCAAACAGCGCAGCCGCTTTCCTTTTCTTGGCTTTAAGAGCTCAAGACACAACAAACAAACGGCTCGAACCTTTCCATGATACCAAGGAGCATGGAGAAGGACTCTTCCTTGAAAGGAGCTGCCCAATCATCATACGGCACTGCGTTTAGCTGGTACCAAATGTTCACGGGCCACAGAGCCACAAAGAACCCCACAAAGAAGCACAAATCAATGACGTGGAAGAGCTTGCAGGGCGAGCAGGGGCACTCCACATCGGGCAACTCGCAGCAGCAGGGCGCGCAACATCGAGAGATGCAGGTAACGAGCCACAGCACACCCACAATTTGACCTTGTGAGGACTTCGATTCAAGAAAACACATAGGTTTGAAACCAAACCCAAACCGACAAACAAACAGAAAACAATATAGCATTCTATAGCGAGAGTCCGGCAAAGTAGGCGGCGACCAAGGAGCTTTCGTAGAAGGAATAGTTCGCTTCGGCCTGCTCCCAGTCTGGATGGCTCATATCGGCCGTTGCTGCGTCCGAGAGGTTGAAATTCACCGTGATGGCGACAGCGATGCCGTGCAAGCTCAAGATGACAAAGAGGATGCCAACCGTGATGGTCAAGCACAGCTGGTACTTGGGGCTTGACCCCAGGTCATTGCAGCACTTGCACTCCCCCATACTTACAAACACCGTTTGGGCCAAAGTCTTTTCCTGTGGCCGAACCACGCCATCCACTCACCCTGCATCGGATCATGACTGGATGGGGGAAAAGAAAATGGAACTACTCTGCTTTGGGTGTATATATAGGGGTATATAGGGATGATGAAAGAAAATGGAAGTTGCTATCTAGTTTGCTTCATGTTCATGTAGGGGTATATAGGGACAATGGAAAAGAAACATGGAAGCTGCTATCTAGTTTTTTCGGTTTTTTAAGGATATCTAAGGACAATGGAATAGGAAATGGAAGCTACTGTTTAGGGTTTGGGGATTTAGGGTCTTGGCTTTGTATACAAAAGGGTATATGGTAGTTTCCATGAATAGGGGCGACCCCAACATAGACCACGACATACTACAATCCGCAAAATGCCGATTTTCAGAAGGATCTCTAGTTTATAAAGAACTTCCAAAATGTGACCCCTCCCCCCAATAATGGAGCATCATGGGGAAATCAAAGGGAAAATCAAAGAGGCCTAATGTCGGATTCGGATTACAA